GTAGAGCAGGTTTTGGGCGTCATGACATGTATCTGGGATACTTAGATCTACATGATACAGTAAATGTTACCCAGAACATACAGTAATGACCGATATCTACGATGCACTTCTTGGCATGTGCTCGTACCTGTATCCGGATAATATCAACTCGAAAATTGGAGTCAAAACTTCTTGCCATTTAGTTTTTCTGTTGTTGCCACCTTCAACAATTCTAAAAACCAGTCTTTTTTTTAAACTCAAACCACCAACACATTATGTGGCGAATAGCTACATGTATGCACAACCTTTGCGGTAAAGCAGCAATTCGCAGCTGGAAGGCTTTGTCACCGGAGAACTTCTTTGAATCCACAGGGGTAGCACCATCGCAAGTGATCACGGACACAACATCTTCAGATGGAAAGTTGAAGCCGCTTGTTCGTCCGCACAACAAATCATTCGAATACCTAGTTGGCAACTATTAGTAGTTGCTGGGAAACGTAAAATGTACTGGTGAACTACTTCGGAATCTACAGTCGAGTATACAGATACCTTGCTCGCGATCGTAGGAAAGATCAAAGGGCACGACTTGCATTACAATTATAGACTACATGTATTACTGTAAGAACTGCATGTAGGATCTCTAGTTTCGGATACTGCATGCATAAGTACTTCACGCGTCAGTAGTATGCTCGGCACTGAGGAACTCTATTATAAAACTAAAATCTTCCAGCAACATTAGCGTTACCAGTGGTAGATGTAGTGGTAACTTATCACTAAGAACAATCACACGATTCAAGTTTTTTTGTGCGTTTTTCACAAACGTCTGGGATTTCCAACCAAGATGGGGAGTGCCTCTGCGCTACGATTTCGATAGTCATCCCTGCTATCCTGGCGGCAATTGGCCGCTTCGATCGCACAGCGAACAGGGGAAATTCTATCTTCCGATGCGCATGGAGGTTACGGTGTTTGCAACCCCCACTGACAATCCCTCGGTTCATTTCGGAAAAACTCTGCTTCGACGCAGGACACTATGAATCTCCGTCGATTCGCAGCCTCCGCTTTTGTGGGCTTATTGGGTCTTGCGTCCATTGCCCCGCACATGGAGGTACAGGCTCAGGAATGTACAGCCAAGGAAAATACATTCGGCTTTCTCGTGGACGCTCTACCTGCGGACTTCGGTCTCAACACTTGCGTTGCTAATAACGTCGGAACAATCGCTTTGGCTGTTGCGAGCACTCTTTTCAGCAGTTGTGGCGCTTTGGATATCTACGATATCGTCAAGAATGAAGACTTCAAGGGGTTAATGAACTTGTTCAAATCCATTGCTGCCAAACCCGCTGACATTTCTCCGCTCATCTACAAGTACATGGCCGCTCAAAACGACGACAGTGTGGACAATTTGTGCGATGCCTTTAGTGGAGCTCTTGGACCGTGCGGTGAAAAGGTTATTCCGAAACTCCTTCCAGCGTTCCAAAAAGACGACGTGTGCTGCGCTGACATCAGTGATCTCATTGATTTACTCAACATCGTCGTGCCTGCCGATAAGAGCATGGAGTTTTTCATAGTTAACGAGCTCATTGACGGCTTTAACAGGTTTTTATGTTCCAAGAAAGGAGACGCGTCGTGCGGTCTCGACATGTTTTCGCAGTTGACGAAGATGTACACAGTGGAAAACTTCGATTTCTTCCAGCACATGGTGCTCCCGTTCATGACTATCGGAGGGGGAGAAGAGTGCTCGGGATTGTCGGGCAACCCCTACAAGGACACGGCGTCACAGGCATCGGGTACCACCATCAACTTCGGATGTTGCGTTCATCAGATGCGTCCGTTTATCCAGACAATTCAAGCTGCGGTTAAGTACATCACCAACGATGAAACCTGGGATATCCTAAGTGGCATGGTGTCGTTCAAGGCTCCTAAGGGTGGCTTCGTTGACACGCTTACAGGAACCAAGACTTGCGAGTTCGACGGTGATTCGTGTGATGACCCCAAGGGTATGGCTGATGATCTGGAAATGACACGTAAACCTGGTGGGAAAAACCCGGGCAAGAACGACCTTATTGATACAGACTGCAAACTTGTGGACAAGTGCAGTGGAGACAAATCCGTGTGTAGTCAAGTGTGCGACAGAGGCTCAGTTGCTGTCCCGGAATGGCTCAAATCGACTCTGGCTTACCAGCGCAACTTGGCGTTCAGTGGGCCGTTCTGTTACGCACAGATCCCAGCTTCACACAACAGCGCTATCACACTCGCTGATGGCTTTGGAAACCGCGATCAGCTCTTCAACAAGAACTTGAATCCGGATAAGTGGTGGTCGTACCTTAAGACCAATAACCAGGTGCTGAGTATGACCGACCAGCTCGATATTGGAATTCGGTTCCTCGAGATTGACACGCATTTTTTCCTCAATGATCTCCGCACGGGCCACTGCGGTTCTCTGGGCTCAGAGGCTGTCGCGGGATTCTTTGGCACGTTAGGCAAAACACTCGGTAACTACGGCACGTACAATTGGGGCCCTGAACTATTGGGTTGCTTCCCGTCGATTTCAGGTATTAAGTCATCGGAGCAACCTTTGACAAAGGATTCCTTGGACGAGATCAAGGCGTGGCTGAACGCGAACCCCACAGAGTTTGTCGTCGTGTACTTGGATACTGGTGCAGACATCAAACGATCGGACAAATTCGGCGTCATTGACACTCTGTTTACCGATACCTTTGGAGATTTGCTCGTCCCGCTGAAGGCACTTGATGACTTGGCCAAGGGCAAGTGGGCTGGTGGCAGTATCAACGAGTTTATCAATGCTGGACACCAGGTGCTGGCCCTTACAAACACTAAGACCAAAGCTGCTTACAGTCTGTACGACATGTGCACTGCCGAGAAGGATCTCACGGTCGAGTTCATCGATGACCTGCCCGACGCTAAACGGCTCATTAACGGTATTGCTATCTACAGCAACACGAACTGGATCCGGTCGTGGTCGGAGCAGATTCGCTACATTTCGCTTGCAGCGTCGGGAACCCTCACGAGGAAATTCCCAGTGTTCTTGGACGCTAAGAGTATCCCCAACTATCTGCGGTGGAATGTGAACCTTATCGCACAGGATAATGCGGATATCGCCAAGATGGCTGCAACGGTTTGGTCATGGGCAGAAAAGGAACCAAGCACTACAGTGGAAGACGCATATGTGCTCATGGACGTCAATGGCCGTTGGGTAGCTAGCACAGACGCGAAGAAGAGCTCACGAGCGTGCTGGGACGGCGCGAAGCTAGCGTGGTCCATCGTTGCATTTGCCAAGGATTGTCCTGCTGGAACAGCCTTTAAAGCCCCGACGGATCCGTACCAGAATTATTTACTGCACGAAGCGCTCAAGGCCCAGAAGATCGCAGACACGTCGCTCGTGATCAACGCGACGTTGACGGCAGTAGGAGCACCTACTCCCGTGCCTTCTGTGGTGGCAGTCGTCACAGACGCTGCACCTGCTCAAACCGACACCGGTGGCTCTGCACCTGCTCAAACTGACACTGGCGGCTCTGCACCTGCTCAAACCGAGGCGAACAAGACGTCTAATGCATCACCGCTCTGCAGAACGGAAGGCGGGTGTGGTGGTAAATAGGGTGGCAAAT